CTAAATTTGTCGAACCAGACGTTTTGTTAGACCAAATTACTTTCAGTAACACAAATTATTTTGATTAAATTTAATGTTACTTGCTCAATAAATAGCACTTGCTGTGTAAATAAGCTATTTCAAGTTACTGACAATTACTGGTAACTTACTGTAGCTTTTTGTTAAATAAAAATTCTACTCTCCTAACAATATCTTGCCCAATTTAGTTTGATTTGTTTGGTGATATTTTTCGGCGTTTTTCGACAAAAATGGAAGTTAATTCGTAAAATAGTTTTAAAGAGAAAAAATTTGTATTTTGATGAATCTGCCAGGATAATTAGACCGAATCTTTGCCATGACAAAGGTAAGTTTATATTGACTGTGAAAGCTTGATATTAACATGCTTTATCCTTCAGAGGTCTTCTTTGTTGGTAAGCTCCAAAATTCTCCCTACTGATTTAAGCGTAAACTCTTCAGTAATCGAGGTTGAATTTTGGCAAAAAAGGAAAAGATAGAGCTCTTATTCTTTGGTAGCGTAATCAACTGCTTAGCTCATGCTGAGGCTGATTCCATCAGCAGTTTCATTTTCAGGAATTCATACACTTACCTTACTGAATGATGATATGAATGTTAACAAGAAAACATATGAGCCAGAAAATACAAACAGTGGATCGGAATGAGAGGACCTTGGTATTGGCCTCCAAGATCTCCTGAACTGACTGTCGGTGACTTTTACCTCTGGGGGCGACTGAAAGACAAAGTTTTCGTTCGAAATCCTCGAGCCGTAGATGACCTCAAAGATTTCATCTACGAAGAGTTCCACGAGATTGACCAGGAAGAGATAAGAAAGGATTGTGCTTCAGTTGCTGTTAGGTGTGCGGGGCATTGGAAAGCATCCGAAGAAGCACAAGGATTACAGTTAAATTGGCCTGTTCCCGGTAGGCATTGCAGTTCAAAATTGTAACCCCGCAAAACGGTCCATTTTCACGAAAATCAAACAATAGTAGTAATCAAACTATAGAAAAAATGGCCAGTTTTGCGGGGTTACAGATCAAAATGAATCACCTCATTAAAATCAAAATTGAATTTTACATCTAAAAAATCTATTCAAAAAGAGTTTTCACCTTTGGTTATTCATTCGTATTTTGCAATTCGTTCCCATGCATCTCTAAGGTTATTGCATGATATATCGAAAACGAAAAAAGATTTTAAAAACGGTCTGAAGCAATGAATTCAGCATAAAAGTTTACATCATATATTTTTATTTCAAGAAAATACCTTTCTAGGCAGTTTTGGCCTTCCTCCGTTTCTTAAGAAAAGGAACATAGGAACGTGATTTGAGCATAAGGAATTCCACATTTAATTTTATATCCTCCTCATAGAAATCTCGACCAAGAAAAGGGAACATTAACAAAAAATATTTTTTGCTATTAATACTTTTATTGTATACCAATCAATATCACGATCGATAACAAGTTGATTAAATTTTCACCTTTAATTTAATTACTATAATAATGAGATATTTTCTGTTGAAGGGAGAGCTAAAATAGGATAAAATGTCTATAGATGTAGATCAGAGATTCTATCATTATTGCTAGTGATTTAATATTTATTGATTGGAAAAGATGTAAGTGAAATATTGCCATTTTGCTTGCCACTGATTTCCATCTATCCTTCACTTTTTGATTGCAACCTTTTCAGCATTTCAAAGAATTTCTCAGCTTAAACTCGGGACAGGTAAATTTCAATTTCAACACTAAAGTTTGCCAATGTTGGAATAATGCTTCCTTTTTCAGTGCAAAATATAGTCAATATTAAAAAGCCAATTCAACCGTCGAGTATTTTGTCTCAATCCATTTTGCGAAAAAGTAAATCAGCGCGTATTGTTCATTTAGCAGTCTCACTCGGCTTTGTGCTGAGATCTTTCACTGTTTATTACGATTTGACGAGTGAAGATGGCATTAGCAAAGCTTCGAGCAACAATATTAGCAAATATTATGCTATCTGGTTGCTCATTTATTCATTTGTTTTTCCTTGCTCTTTGATTGCATTGATATTCAATTCCACTCATTACTTCGAATTCTTAAACATTTGGAAAAACATTGTCAAACGCAATGAAAACGTTATTAATGCGTACATAACTACGAAGAGAAAATTTAGCTACAGAATTATATTGCTGGCGTTCATTTACGAGACAGCATTGAATTTTATCCAGGTCATTCAACTTGTAGACTTATTAACTCGAAATAACTTTTCGCTGTACTTTCAAGTTATACGGATTGGGAGTCAGGTTTTAGTGTTGATATCGATTGCATTTGGATGGTCACTCTTCATGTATTTCATTCTTGAAACTTGTATTTACATGCATTCAGCGTTTGTGCTTATTGATTATCATCTCGACAACAATAAACTCAATCAACTGGATTCAAATGATATTGAACAGATTATATTAGCTCGTAACACTTATTCTGAATCCATCAAGCTCATTAGTTGCGCTGATAATTTACTCTCTTTTTTGATTACTGGATTCTACATATTTTTTGTTGGCTATTGTTTTGCCATTATTGGACAATTTTCAATGTCTGATGGCACATTCATAGATGTCTTAACTGTCATCTTCAGACTGTTCGGTGAAACCATTTATATTGGCTCGATGACACATTACCTTGTAAACATTAATAAGCTTTCTGATAAAATATTTGAAAAGGTTTATTCTCTGACTTTGAACAGGTCAAGAACAGTTGAATATAATGATGAGGTAAATAGTTTTCTTATAGTTGATCAAACTTACGCTTTGAGTCAATTTTCACCCTGAATTCAATGTTAATAATTATTCATTTTTTATCATTTTATTCACAGATCAATCTGTTTCTGCTTCGAGTTGGTCGAAATGATGTTGGATTCAGATTTGCCAATCTGTTCGTTATGACACCAGCTTTTGTCTCTTCTTTGGCCACCATTTCATTGACTTTGGTTTTAACTCTTCCGAGTTTATTGCACTAGAACTATGAAATTCTTTTAATCGTTAGTAAGAACTGTGACTCGAAATGCTTGTGAGAATGCAAAAGGGAAGATCATTTATGACAATATAATTATTTTTCTGATAAAATACTTTGAGAGTACACATGTATAATAATGGGTCGCTCTAGTACAATTCAAGTTTTCGCATCACAATTTTGCATAAAAATTCTTCGATCCCTTTCTTTCTTTTTTTCATTTTACTGTACATAATGACAAACACAGTATACATATGAAATTGTGCAATTTTGATTTAACCGTTGAAAT